ACAATACTGTTTAAGCTTCACTCAAACTATCTAACATGCTAACAATACTGTTTAAGCCTCACTCAGTAAACAACAGAGAGATGTAAGAGCTCCATTGCTAACATTACTTGGAAAAAAAATTAATATTCAGAATGAAAGTTAAGTTAATAAGTCAGATTACACTATATCTAATGTAATAACACTTCCAACTACACACCTCTATATCATCAATGTTGACCTTTTTATATTCTCTCTTCATTTCCTTCACACCAGTTCTCATGAAAGTTAAGTTAATAAGTCAGATTACACTATATCTCATGTAATAACACTTCCAACTACACACCTCTATATCATCAATGTTGACCTTTTTATATTCTCTCTTCATTTCCTTCACACCCGTTCTCATGGCTTCCACCTGAACAAAAACGAATACATTAAATGAAAACATTTTTAACCATTATTTCTAACTGTATTCAATTTGTAAACTTGAACAAAATATCGCTACATGATTAACTGAACAGTAACTGGATTCAACTAATTGATTACTCTCATAGAAGGCCAATCTTCCTATTTTCAACTTTATCGCTACATGATTAACTGAACAGTAACTAGATTCAACTAACTGATTACTCTCATAGAAGACCAATCTTCCTATTTTCAACTTTACTTTGACTTTTCTAAAGTAATTTTTGAACTAAACGTTGTTTAATAAGTTACAATAATTCAGGATTTTTTTTTATTTCTAAACTGTCGAGCAGGAACAAAAAATGTGTCACTTATACGACATAGTACAAAACCCGTAACAGGCTGAAATATGATTAATAACATTGAGCGTGTTTTTCCAAACAAATCTTAACATTACCTACTATTAAGCCAATTCTTTGTTAAAAACACACAAACGTTCTTAGATTTCATGTGGTAAAAACACAGTATGTCTAATAAGTTATATACAATTCCCCCCCTATTCTACGAAAACCTGTTTGCTAAGATTAAAATTATTTATGAGGTGGAAATTGAAGTATTTAAAAAAAATATGAAATAATTATAATTTTTTTTTCTAATTCTGTCATCAGTGTAAAAAGTTTAATTAAACTACATTGATTGATTATTTTACATTGCTCCAATTGATATAATCAATAATCATAGGTAATCGACTACTTTGATTAATCAATTTAATTTGTCCACCTCTATCCTACAGTATACACTCTGCAAAAATTAAACAAATCTTAACCCATTGACTGTGTATGACGGATATTTCCGTCATTGAAGTTCTATGGCTCAGCTGCGAATGACGGATATTTCCGTCAGTCACACATATATAACTACAACTCTATGCGAATGACGAAAATTACCGTTTTATTGTGATTGATGGCAACTCAGTTTTATCTGTGAGTCAGAAAATGGCAACTGAGCTGCTCCTGCAGCAGTTAATGGGTTAATGTTTATTTGTACTTTATCTACGTACTAAATCTCTCTTTTCGTGATGAATCATTTTCATAAGTTAAGAGGCACTTGTTTTATAAAAAGTATATTTCAAGGAAGTTTTATTCATAGTTTTTGGAGAAATAACTTTAAAAGACACTATACCAAACAAACTCGTATTACATATTTTTTTAAGCACTAGAAATGCACACATTTCTTTTCCAAGTTTACTTTTTTATTTTTGTAATATAATTATTTGGTGGTTTTTTTTTCTGAATTCTTCTTTGAAAGTTTTTAACTGTATAATCATAATTCATTAAAATGTTGCTATGAACAAAATAAATTTTGTGATATTCTGTTCTAATAGTATTACACTATAGGATATTTCAAGGCTAAACTCATCTTTTGGTCCAAATCTTTAAATACCTTTGTTTATAAGCCTTAATTCTTTCAAGCCCAACCTTTAACAAGACATTTAGTAACTAACACACAATGTATCATACAGTAAAATGTTTGATATTAATAAAATAGAGGAATTAACTAAAAACAAATGTTTATTAAAACTAATCAAACACTTACAGTTGTTTTTGTGTCTTTCAGCATTTGGGTTGCATAGTTGGCTTGCTCCATGTTGAAAGACTGTTGCATAAGGTTTTCTCGCTGGTTCTCGTACCTTGGGATAAAATCATCAAGAGTTTAAAGTTTATAGAAATATAACATATAACATGGAAGATTCGATTACATCCACTGCACAAAATTTTATTCTTGTAAATCATTCGAATGATGATGATATTATACATCATTAGCCCTCGGGTTTACGTCTAAGTGATGGGTATAATCCCACCTCTGGGTTTACATCTTGGTGATTAGTAAAAGGCCACTCCCTGACCTTGTTTTAATAAAAATCAAAAAATCGTAAAAGACATCGTATCTAAAACACAGACAACTAAGATGCAAGGCATGATAACTACAAAAAAATAGCTATATAATGTTACACATATCAGTTAACCAGAAAGACAGTTTCAAGTAGGCCTAATGACATTATGTGCTTGGCCATTTTTGTTAAAAAGAGTTAAACATCTTAGATTAATATACACATATTCATTTATATATACTAACTTCTAAGCTACTGATCTTAACCTAGATTATAGATTATTGTGCTTAAATTAAGCATTGTATGTATATAAATTACATACTTTTTAAACACTTCCTTAAATTAAACATTGTATGTATATAAATTACATACTTTTTAAACACTTCCTTAAATTAAACATTGTATGTATATAAATTACATACTTTTTTTAACACTTCTTTCACTAATTTTTTACAAACAAAAATTCTACCACATACAAGCTTGTACTAAAATAAACCTATAAAACCACTATGTTCTAATACTAACCTTATTTACTTGATCAATAAGGAAATAAATAAAGCAATTTTAGACAAACAATCTGTCAGAACAAAGAAAATAACTTCTACTGATAACTTATGAACAAATATTTCAGCGTATCCTTTAAATAATAGAATACAGTAAAAGTTCTTACATTCTTTTTTGTTTCAATACTCTCAATGCTTTCTGTTTCACCACATTCTGAAATGTATGAAGATCAATGAGATTAAGAGTAAGTATTACAACTTGACACAAACTTTGAATCTTATACCAGTACAATTTAAAAATACGGATGTTGCAACAGAAAAATGCACGGAATACAAAATTTCAAAAATAATTTATTATGATTTGACCTCGCAAACGGTTAAATAGTTTTATTGAAATAAAATGAATTTGTTGTAATTTTCATATAAAATAGAATTTATGCACTGGTAAACGTTGAAGGTAAAAAAATTGTTCAAGTAACAGTTACAAAAATTATTAAAACATTTTGAACAGACACTTCTCAAGTAATCACACAATGTTATAACCTGATGAATTGTTTGTTCAAAACTTTGTAATAAATGTGTTTCTTTTACCTTCTATTTTCATTACTTACATGTAATTACTGAAACTTAGCAATCACAAAAATGTTTCTAATTTGAGGCCCACAAGGTCAATTTTTTGTCTAAAAGTTAAAAATAATAATAGCTGGTACATTAAAATACTGAATGGTGGAGAAAATCATTAGCCTTTTTATACAAAAACTTTTTCCTCATGAAAGCAAACCCTGGACCCATAATACATTAAATTCTATCTATTATTGTACACTGTACATACTTATTCAAACCTACAAGAAATGATGAAAAAAGCAAAATAGTCACCCATACAATAAACAAACAATACAACAATATCATATGTAACAATGCTGACTTGATTTTTGTATATTAGCATTACATTACCTTAGAGGGACCATCTCTCATGCTGACTTGTTTTTTGTATATTGGCATTACATTACCTTAGAGGGGCCATCTCTCATGCTGACTTGATTTTTGTATATTAGCATTACATTACCTTAGAGGGACCATCTCTCATGCTGACTTGATTTTTGTATATTACCATTACATTACCTTAGAGGGGCCATCTCTCATTTTTTTCATTTGATCTTTATACTTCACAAGTTCCTGGTCAAGTTTTGAAATTTTTTTATCAATTGATTCTCCACGACTGTCCACCTACATTTGTATAAGTAAATAAAATACCGTGTAATCAACACTCAGACATTTGTATAGTCAGAAAAAAGGAAAATAACACGTACCAATAATGTACATATAAATATTTCAGTTAAGATTTCAGCATATTCTCTAAATTTAAAATCAGCTAACAATGACTTTCAGTAAGTTAGAAACAGTACAATAAGGATTAAAACTTAAAGTAGTGAATTTAATTGTAATCAGCCTATTCTACCGAGCAACAGATTTTGGTGCTTGGATTGTGCAGATGACAAATTACTGGAGGGAAGGAAAACAAAAGAGTCAGAGAAGAATGTGGATGATAAACTTAAGGAGGTCATAGTTATAGGTGATTTCTTGACAAACCAGTAGAACAGTCTACGGAGTAAATAGAGAAGAAAGATATAGCTGACAGAGCAAGAGATATCATAAAGAGAGAGATAGCAATGATGCAGTTTTTGTGGTGCATGTAGGGGCTAATGATGTAGGAAAGGTAGGTCAAAAGAGCTAATTAATAAGTACAAGGGGTTGATGAAAGCATTTAAAGATAAAGGCCATAACTTAATTGTGTCAGTGATACTGCTGAGAATTAATGAGTTGGTCACTAGGGCTAAATGCTAGGCTTAGGTTAATATGTAAGGATGAGCAGATAGGCTGGTTGGACTTGCAGAATCAGTTCAATGGGAGAAGGAAGCTTTTTGGAACTGATGGCTTACATTTAAATAGGGTAGGATCTGGCTTGTTCGCAGGGGCTATTAATGCAGTTGTAAGAGAAGATTTAAACTAGGACTAGAAAGCAGTGAGGGCCAGGATAATCTAAATGCAAAAAAAAAAAAGATTTTAGAAAAAAGCTTAGCATAGGAAATGAGTATAGAAGTAGTTATAAGGATAGGTTTAATTGTTACTGTTGTAATGTTAGAAGTATAAGAAATAAAATAGATGACTTTAGAGCACTGGTAGGAATGGAGGATTTTGATATAATGGGAATAACTGAGACATGGTTAAACATAGATAATTTTAGTGACAGACATTTCTTTGAAATACAGGGTTACAGACTATTTAACGGGATAGAGTACTAAAGAGGGGGGAGGAGTGGCTTTATATGTTAAGTGTGAGTTACATCCTGTTGAAGTTGAGGATATCAAAGATAATAGCAAAGAGATTGAATTCATCCAGGTTTCTATTAGTTAATATAAAGGGAAAAGGCTTTTAGTGGGAATCTGTTACAGACCATCAGGTGATACTGATGAAATTAGAGAAACTTTACAGTAATATTAAGATTTCAGCTTTTAATGAGGTTATAATTATAGGTGATTTTAATTTCAGGCATATAGATTGGGAAATGCTAGAGTCAAACCATGAGGGAGAAAGGTTTATGGAAACTGTTCAGGATGGTTTTATTCACCAATTGGTCAAGGAACCTACTAGAAACAATGATATTTTGGATTTATTGTTAACTTCTAATGTAGAAATTGTTGAGAGGATGGAAATTAAGGAACATCTGGGTGCAAGTGGTCATTGCTCTATTAGGTCCAATGTTTTGCTGTATATGAAGATAAGGAATAATGATATTTTGGTTAAAAATTTCAAAAAAGCAAATTTGGAAGAGATGTGACAAGAATTATCTGTTGTGAATTGGGCAGCTCAGTTATCTGAAGACACTGATCAGATGTGGAAAATTTTTAAAGATAAATTTTTAAATATTCTAGATAAACAAATTCCTTGTAAAAAGAAAAGGGTAGCTACAAGTAAAAAATGAGGTTGACTCATAAAGAGTATAAGAAACAAAATTAGAAAAAAGCATAATAAATTTATGAAATTTAAATTGACTGGTCTGACAGGAGACTTAGAAGATTAAGAAAATTGGTCAAACAGGAAATAAGGACATAAAAAGAATGAAAATGTAAAAATTAACAGTAAGGATTTCTTTAAGTATATTAAGGGCAAACAAAATGTTAGGATGGTGGTAGGGCCCTTGAGGGATGATAAAGGAAGGCTCGTATATGATGATTTTAAAAGCAAGATGGCCATACTATGTGACTCAACAACAATGATTTCATTATGATACAAGTTCATTTTTACATTAGCACGCTGTATTTGTAAAAACACTTTCCTCATAGTTGTACTGTATGTCCTACTAAACGAGAAAAAATAATTATTGTTACAAGACTAAGACAGGGGGTAGAGTAAATAAATTCCTGAAAAAATAAATGCTGAGTTTATATTTTTATTTTTTCTTTGGGTGGAAGAATAGGGGAAAATCTTTTACTGCTGAAAGCTACACGTTCCTTGTTGATCACAGGATAATGTTATCTACTACTGATGATAATACTACATACTACGCCAAATAGTAATACTTAGCATACAGCTTACAAATTACTTTTAACTGGATTTTTGAGTACAGACTATATTAGGCCTAGGTAATAATAATATAATACTTATAGTTCATTATACTGTTACTGTTATAACTTATAGTCAATACTAAGTCTATTATTTTTTAAGAAAATCAAAATTTAGTATTAAACTTCATATTCTTACATTGGATATACAATCTGTAAGATTTGGCGGGGGTTCTTTTGGTTTTGATCTTCCAAACAATCTGTTCATTTCTATTTAATGCAAAAGTTGCAATATTACTAATTATGTGAACTACGTGAAACCAGGTGTATTATCTAACTTCTTTCCTGATTGACTAACTATCATGCGCCCCTCCTATAGTCGGTATACGTTTCAACAAACAATTTTTACACGGGAAACATAAACTCGATTATATATAACACACAAATATATTTTCAGTGCTGTCGAAAATAATAATACAGACCTAAATATATTTATATATAAAAACAGAAAAATTCTTGCTCATAAAAATATAAGGTAAGAAAATAAAACAATATAGATATTACATTTCAAATTTTTTGTTGAAGGCCAAAACAAAAATTTACAACTGCAAGTGACAATGTTGAGATATTTACATACAAAAATTAAATCTAAGGTTTAATCTGCTCGTTAATAAGTTTAAAAACACGTTCCAAGGGCGAAGCACTGAAATATTTATATATACAGTTGCGATCATCAACAAAATAAATTACAATTTTAACGAGCGTAACAATACATCACAATAACGTTGATAATAGTAATAAATCTCTTTCTTCCTTCTTCATCGTTCCCAGTGGATCAGTGATAAGTTTATGAACTTGCAATACTAACATCCAGGATTCAATTCCTGTTGTGGGTAAAGCGTAAATAGCCTACTGTGTAGCTTTGCGCTGAAAAAAAGAAACACCATTCTTCTTCTTTGTGTGTTTGTTTTAGAATTTCTCAACATACTTATAGTCCTAAAAATAATTATGCTTTATTGTCTCCAACATCGTTTAATTCCGTATCCATAAATAATACACGCACACAAACCTAGAACTGTAACTATCTAGAATGGCTGGACTTAGGAGTATACAATCCAATTCACGTTTCTGAGCCTGGATGTTTTAGTCCTGGATGTCACTAAGTATATGGACGAGGAGCAAAAAGAGGACTGGGATGTAGTCTTCTAGAAGTTGTTTCCCCAACTTGCTCCTATGGAGAATTTCCCTCACACTCAGTGATTGCTTCTTGAATTTGCTTGGGGAATCCCTATATGAGCTTGTCCACGAGTATGTCCTTGCAATCTGCTGATGCAATTACAGGGTAGACGTCCCAATGCAATCTTGTAGATCATCCATGTAAGTGGCCAGACTCTCGATCCCAGTCTTCTGGACCTTAAACGTGACTCAATAGATCGAATAGACAAGGTCTCACTTTGCAACGAGATTGTCGGATGTTTTGAAATGTTGCCATCCAATGTGCTATCAACCCTTCTAGATGCTGTAGACTTTTCCTCTTTAAAAACCGGCTCAATGGGTAACAATGGAAACTGCATCTGTTAAAGTGAGGATGGTTCGTGAAATGTCTTCAACTCAAACACTGTGTATGTCTAGTTTGTTAGACTATCATCTTATATCGACGGTAGGTAATCTGTGTTAAAATTATTTTCTCTTGACGCATTTATGTGCATTTTAATTTTGGTTAATATTGAGATTCTCATATTTTCTTAGTTCAATGGTATTTTGTCTATGTGTGTTGTTAAAAGATATTTTTTGTGTATTATTGTCTATGTCAAAGGGTTTATTCTTACATTTTAACATTCTGTGTTTAATATTGTTTCTGTATTGTAAAGTTTTCTATATTAATGGGTTTTGTTTGTATATATGCATATTATTTCATCATTTAATAATATTTTATCTTTATATGATGTACTATTCATTATAAAAGGTTTTCATTATATTTGTGTTATTTATCTAAAGACGTTTTAACATACTATTATCATTTTTAATCAATGAAGAATTTTTCACTGGTTTAAATTATTAAACTAAAAGTGTTTTTACTTTTTTAAAATTTTTATTTTAGTCTGATTCTATGCAATTTTCACATAAATACACGTTCCAAAACACTGTTGAGTTAGTTTTATTCTAGCGACCTTTGTTCTTTTATTGTTCTCTTAGAGATAATCCCTGCTCTGCCTGCAGTATTATTGCTGCAACATTGTGCAAGTGCAAGCAGGTCAAAGATACCAGTGTCCTTCACTGACCAAATGCTTGATATCTACAGGCTTTACGATGTTGTAAGAGAACAACCATTAACGTGTAACACTAGTCGTTATGGGTAATTCCTGTTAAGTAAAGAGTTGGATTACACAATTCTACTTGGTTTTCAACATGACTATTTTGACGGAATGACACAATGCTATCGGCCCGGCATGGCCAGGTGGTTAGGACGCTCGACTCGCAATCTGAGGGTCGCGGGTTCGAATCCCCGTCACACCAAACATGCTCGCATGGGGGCGTTATAATGTGACGGTCAATCACATTATTCGTTGGTAAAAGAGCTTCCATTTTCCACAGTTGACTAGATCGATTACCGTAATATTTTGTAAGTATGGTAACTGTCTGAATGTGTGTAGAAAAGCTATTTTGGTTTAGAATTTTTTTCCGAGGATAAGGATAACAAACATCCTAAAATACGGCATATTTCCACTTTTTTAAAGACTTTGAATTAAAATGAATTTAAATACACAAGTTCTGATACAGTCAAATAAGTCAATTATTACCTTTCACAAAGCATCTAATTAGCATCAAAGATTCTTTCAATTAGCACCTAACGAGTTCATTAGGGATTAAATAACAAACAATAGAAGGAAGGGAATGTTATCTAACATTGTCTTATATACGGATTTTAACTGGTACCTCAGCCAGTATACGTAATTGTCAAAGTATGAAATATTAATTAATCTATATAAATAAAAATGAAATGTTTGTTTGTTTGTTCAAAATCTTAAATCTCCGAAAGTTCTTCACCGATTGCTTTGAAATTTTGACACAACGTTGCATTCG